CCCCCCTCCCATTATCTGCAGATATGGATTCAGTCACAACCCAACCCCCAACATCTGGTGCTACAAATAGATCCAGTCCCAACACAGCCCCTAAATTAGGCAGCTATAAATAATTATAGATTCACTCATAACACACAGCTCCAACAATCTGCCTCTTTAAACAGACCCCACCACCCCTCCCCCATGCCACCATTAACAGGCCAGCTCACAGTTAGAACTCACCGCCTGTAGCTGACCCAAGAGAGTAGTCACTGTGGATTCCAGTGTGTCGCTCTGTCTGCGAGCTCCAATCACGTCCACTTTCTTCTTGGCCTGGAGAAAAACACACACACACAAAAGACACAGACTTTCAATACACATCATACGTTTTGAGTTGTGAGTAGGGTTAGCTAAGTTTTAGTATGAGTTTTACGGCACTTGCAACGCAATAGGTCATACAAGTGCCAAAGACAAAGATTAAGAGTTGCCACTTGAGAGTTATATACAAAGAAAAGAAGGAGGAGACATAAGGACGATAGATGTTTGATATGAAAGAAGGAGCAAAACAAACCGAAGCACTCGTCAAACATCCACGAGTTTTCAGTAAAAAGAAGTTCATCAACGGTCATAAAGTGCAAGGCAAAAGCAAGACAGACAGGCAGAAACAACAGAGGGAAAGTAAAAAAAGCAAACCCTACAAGGGGAACCCATCGACCACCCACTGCAAATCATGACAAATCTCAATCTGCTCACCCAGAATCAAAGAACCCAATTGAAAATTGTGTTACGTTTAGCCTCAGATGTACAGCCTGATAACCTCTCACCAGAAACTAGAAACAACACGTTGCACTCACTACAGAAGCAGATATTATCTTTCGAAGCACACAATTTTGAGTTTTAAAGAAGAGAAGCACACAGTCCCAGAAATAGTCATTTAGAGCCGAGGATAAGCAAGACAAACAGAGAGAAACAACAGACGGGAAGGGAATACAGCCAACTATTTAACCCTATCCGTATGTCGTGTTTTACTATCGTATCCACACGACGTGGGGAACTCTGTGCCACCACTTTCCAAAGAGGAAATTTACTCGTCAATCCGATCCGTACGCTTTGTATAGCAGTCTCTCAAATTGATTTTTTGAGAAATATTGAGTTTCAAAGAGATCTTCGTATTATAAGTATTCTAAGAATACAACCCCGGGAGTACAAAATGACCCCAGGGTGTACGGATAGGGTTAAGGCTTCCGTTGAAAACACAAAGTAGAGTAGTTCCAGACTTTTTGTTTCGGTAAAAGAAGAGAAAAAAACCCAAACATTTTAAAATTTAAATCATTACAAATCCTTTCAATTGAAACAATAACCCAACCCCAACACAACGTAGCGAAGCCCCAATGGGGTTGGGAAATCCTTCCTCTCAAGAAACCAAATCAAGACTCAATAACTTCATGACAGAAGATCTTCCACGTAAATCCCTCCACACCCAGAAAAACGTGATCGGAGCAAAGAAAAAAAGTCGGAGAACTCCAGCACGTAACCAGGCATTGGACCTGTCCAGCGCAGACATTACTCCAGCCCCTTGACCCTCCTCCTTCCCTCCTTCACCCAAAAATGGAGGTAATAATAATAATAAATAGCATTTGTATAGGGCAAACTCCCGCTCAACAGCAAGTTTTAAGCACGTTACGATATACATCATTACCCCAGCAGACCCGATAGCATTCTAAAACAAAATACTGGAGGTAATAATAATAATAAATAGCACTTGTACAGGCAAACTCCTACTCAACAGCAAGCCCTAAGCACTTTACAATCTATATTATTACTCCAGCAGACCTGAAAGCACTCTGAAACAAACTCAGCTTCCTGGGAAGCATACAGGTACACTGGTACTGACAGAGTTGTGTCAACTACACAGATGACTACACTGCAGTTAACTGACAAAACGGCTTATTTTCATTCGGGGCCAAATTTTTAAATTTGAAATCCTGATCATTTACACTACTTGTGTGAAAAAAGTTTTTTTTTTACTAAATTAGAATTCAAATTCTGGAAGAATGCCTCTTTAAATGGCTACGATGACAAAAACCCCTTTGTCTGGAAACTGCTGTGAATTTTTTAAAAAAGGTGTTTTGTCAGCTTATGGCAGTACAGCCTCATACCTTCCACTCTTCATATGCCGGTAGTAAACTTTCGAGGGAAGGGGGCAACTGCAGCGTCAGCTTGAGGAAGTTATCGTAGTGCTTGGACATAGTTGCCACCACCTCCTGTATGGTGAGAAATACAGAAAAACAGTCCAGGATCAAACAATCTAAACACTGTCCAACAATGCATGACACCACTGAAGATTCCACGTTTACTCACAACCAGTTCACACATTTCATGAAACCATCAACACTTTCAACTCCCATCATTCATTTCCAGACACAGTCAAATATTCCCAAACACAACTGCACACTTAAAATTAATGATACCATCAAACATTTCCCGATCCCATCAATCATTTATTGAAACAATCACACATTCCATGACACTATCAGACATGTTCCTACACCATGAAACATTCTTTGGCATAATCACAAATGCCACAACACTGTCAAACATTTTCCTGTTTCACCAAATATTCTTAACCACAATCACACATTCCACGACATCATCAAATATTCCCGGATACCCTCACACATCCAACGACAACATCAAAATTCTCCAACTCTATATATTCTACAACATAATCAAACATTAATTACCACTGTTACACATACCAAACTTAACGACAACGTTACACACTCTGTGACATGACCACCCATTCCTAATAACCCTCTGACCTTCAGAGACGGATCGTCCCTGACCCAACTCAGCATGTACATAGACCCTCTGCCTCTGTGCCCCAAGAACCAACCACACCTGACCTAACTCAGCACGTACCTGGACTGTCTGTCCCACACCTGACCTAACTCAGCACATACCTGGACTGTCTGTCCCACACCTGACGTAACTTAGTACGTACCTGGACAGTCTGTCCCACACCTGACCTAACTCAGGACATACCAGGACTCTCTGTCCCACACCTGACCTAAATAAGCACATACCTGTACTGTCTGTCCCACCCATGACCTGATTCAGCACATACCTCGACTAATTCTCAAGACTGACCACTCAAGACCTCACCCAGCATTTACCTAAACTCTTTGTTCCTGTAGAATGACAACTCAAGAGGACCTCATACAACTATTATTCAATAAGATCTAATAATAATAATAGATTGCATTTATATAGCATAGCGCTCTATCTTATAGGAGTAAAAGCTCTGTAGGCTTAATACAGCACGGACCCACACTCTCTGCTTCTGAAAGACTGACCACTCAAGAGGACCTAACATGGCACGCACGTGAACTTTGCATTTCTCAAAGACTGACTACTCAAGACCTATCACAGCATATACCTGCACTCTCTTGCCCCTGTCCTTCAGTGGCAGGCTGTTAATCTCCTCCACTGCTGTTCCCAGCTTCTCATGAAGATCTCGTCGTATCTGGTCCCGAGCTTCAATCTTATCCTTCAGTATAGACTGACAAAACAAAAAAACCCAAAACATTGAAATAATGTCAAACAGATCAAAACTGACAGGAAAAACAAGAAAAGGTGAAATAATAATCTTTTTCAAAAAGGATCAAATGCAACTATATCTACCAAGAAAGAATTGAAAATATCCCAACCTCTCTAAAGAATAAAATCACAGATGCAACCCTTACAGTAATTCATCAAGTTACTGTAAAGCTGTACCCTATCTGCCTGATAATACATGGTAGTCTATAAGACCTGCCAACCATTCCATGACCAAAACTTTAAAATCCTTTCCCAACAATAGGAAAATTTAGGAAAAGTATAAGAGTCTCCCGAACCCCAGTAGATTAAGAATATACAACAAACCAACTGTGGCAAATAAACCGAGTGTATCAAATACATGAGAATAAATATACATATTTTCAAGTCATTTACGATAGGTCACACCAATATTGCAAATTAATGCGAATAAAAATGTGTATTTTCATGTCATTCACAATGTTGCATTGAATCTGACGAAAACAGAGTTTTAAAATGAAAAAACAGATTTAATGCACATCTGATCAGGGTGCTTAGATGGGCAGGTGAAAATCAGACAGCTTTGACTTTATCAAAACACCTAGCTGATCTGGTCTGAGCATGCACATTTCAGATGTTTCACTTTTTCCTTTGTGCAGTTGTCAGATGTTTGGCAGTTATGGGAAAGAGTAACTTATCCGGTCTTGCAGGTTTTCAGCAGAGAACAATACGGCCAATGGTTTCATGATGAGAGTAAGACAGTTCACAGGAAGCAAGGTGTCACAGTATGGCACAGGTCCGAACAAAAGTTAGTCGGACACCCTACAGCATAAGACAGTGTGTGGTCATCCCTCACATTGTCAGCATTGTTCCACAATCGTCCAAACCAATTTCAGGGTTTCCAGACAAAGCCATTATTCAAATAAAGACATTCATTACAGGGCTTCTTAGAATATAGTTTCAATTTGTTTCAGTATTTCTTTCAGAGTTAGTAACGGAAAATAAAAACATCCCACAAGTATTCAAATCAAGGTTGTGATTGGCGTGGATCTTTTCCCATTTAACTTTCTCAAAACTCTAGAAAATGACTTCGGCACTAGTGGAATGACTCCGATCTGCTCATCTGGTCATGAGCGGCTCTCCTAGAGGTATTGGTGGCCAAGTTGTTCAGCAAATCCCTGTAAGATAGAGTAGATTCCATTGAAGCTAAGCCATCTTTTCACTTGTATCTGTTCCACTCTCAGGTGCTTGCAAAGTTGACAGAAAGTCTGTACAGACAACGATACTCACCACATATTGTGGATTCTTTTCAAAGGAACAGCTGGATGTTGGCAACAGCACTGTTTATGGCTTGATGCTCTGCAGGGGTCCGGATTTCCTTTGTTTTTTCATCCAGACAGCGAATTGTGGCTCCACAATCCATATATATGACCATTTAAGACAGAAATGGTAGGAGAGAACGGTGGCAAGGAGGAAGAGAGAAACAGAGAAAAGACACTGAAAACAGAAAGAGAACTAATATTGTCTCAGCATTTAAAGTCTTATATACTCTTCCTCCTCTCTCCCCTAGCAGCAGCCCCCCTCCCCCCACCCTACTTACCCCATCAGAACATTTGAGGATCTCTTCCTGAGCACTGCGGTACGCTTGCACACAGCTGATCACCTCAGGCAGGGAGTGAGCCAATTCCAGATTGATTTGTCCCGGACCCTGCACCAGACTGATCGCTTCGTCCAGCGGGGTGGCTCGGTCGACAGGGAACTGGGCACTGGACCAGACAGTGAAAGCATTGTTTGTTCTAGTCAAAAGAAGAACACTGACGCAATTGCGGTCATTTAACTCTTTATCTCCGTGGGGGGTAAACCCACTATGCCGAGGCCCATTTTTGGTAGTAAATCTAAAAATGACGTAAACATCACTAAACTGGCCATTAAATCAAAACAAGTGAACCTATTTCGATAGTTCTTCATCGAATGAATGAAATCCTGATAAAAGAGACCTGTTTTCGGCAAATGCCGAAAAGTAATTTGATGTTGAAGTTGTCGTAAAGGAATGTGCCCGAGCCGTTGTCAGCAGCTCACCGGCACAGCAGGGAGCGGCTTGCCGGAGATAAAGAGTTAATGAAAGGGAAAAACAAGACAAACAAGAAGAATAGAAAACACGGGGGGAGAAAGGAAAGAAGTAGGATCTACCACTATTTGTTTTTGTAAGTTTTACGGCGCTCGCAACTGCATAAGGCCATATGAGCGCCAGAAGATTAGATGTGCGACAAGAGAGTAACAAACATAAAAAAGAAGAAGGGGAGATAAGGACGATAGATGTCTCATTGGAAAGAAGAAGCAAACCACACCAGAGCACCCGCCAACCACCCACGACCTACCAGTAGCGCCCTCCAAATGCCAGCAAGGCAGAAACTACTGGGGGAAAGGAAAAAAGTCAGACCTACCACTAGCGCCCCCTCTGAGCAGCAAGTCAGTCAGTGTTAACAGGTGCACACAAACCCTTGTTTGTTTGATTGAGTAAAGAGAACCACATCGACACAATAATGGCCATTTAGTGCTGAAAAAAAGTAAGACAGACTGACAGAAATAACAGAGGGAAAGTAAAGAAGTAGTACCAACCAGTGGCGCCCTCCAGCCACCCGCACACATAAACCAATCATACAAGAGTGTAGCAACGGAACAAAATAAGTCACATGTCACATTTTAACAAAACAAAACTATAGGTATCAAAGTACAGATATGTTGAAGCTCTCTATATGGGAGAAAAAGGTATCAAAATGGCTGTTCTGATTCTAGAGTTGTACACAACGTGGGGAGGAAACATATTTCAACACACACACACAGTCAAGAACACATCCTTATCACACAGTAATCATACTCTTATCAAACTCAAACACTCGAACCATAAGGGTGATTTACCGTAACTTCCGAACGTTGGATGACAGAATTTGCAGCGTTTTGATCTGGGAAAGAAACAAACAAAAAATATGAACTCTCAGTGACAATGCTTAGTTTAGTTTCTTAGTAGGAGTTTTACAGCACTTGTAACACAATTAGGTCATATAAAAGCCCACCATCAGAGGTGTTATTAAAGAGTAACATATCCAAAATAAATAGGGAAAAAAGAAGCAAATCACACTAGAGCAGCACCGACCAACCACCACCAATTAGACCTGCATGTGAGCCTCAACCAGATTGTCTGAAAATTTTGCGCAACCCCCCCCCCCCCCAAAAAAGCCTTTGTGGTTGTCATAAGGAAGGACATCCGAGTAACGAGCCACCACCCCAACAAACACAATAAAGAAGAGACCTAACCCTAACCCTACCCCCAAAAAGAACCTGCAACGGGCCTCATGTAAAAAGGCCAAAACAAGCCCTAAATGAAAAAAAAAAATCAAATTAAAAAACCACACTCCAAAACAAACAAGGAGCATATAGATCTAGATTCTAGATCTATATATGGCTTACATCTACATTGCTATAGGGTTTGATACAATAACACAATAGAATTGGAATATATAATATGAATCCTTCATATATATATATATCTAGATCTAGAAATCTAGTAATGTAAATAAATCTAGATCTAGATCTTGTAGAACAAGTGAATAGGAATAGGCCTTGAACTAGAAATCCGCATCCAATTCTGAACAGAGGGACTCAGCTGAGTCTAGATTTTAGATCTAGATCTAGATCTAGATTCTAGATCTTTACTAAATAAATAAACAATTCACGCACCTGATGAAATGCTTATTTTTACCAACATAAAGATTACAGCACAACCTATGATAGGGTTTGGCACAATAGAACTGGAATATGAATCCTCCATTGAGGTCTATAATGATCTTTATAAATCTAGATCTAGATTCTATTAGAACAAGAGAGTCGGACTTGAATGAATCCACACGATCTGAACAATTGAATTAGCCAACAAACGAAATTCAAAATGGCCGCTCGAGCACGAAACTGAAAGTAGATAATTTAAGTTGTCGTCCTTTTTCGTATTCGCATTTCTACTTAGGTTCCGACAATTATGTCGGAAACGCCGACGTCGGCAGTCGGCGGTGCGCGCATCGGCGGTCGGCACGAAAACGAAAGTGCCGACGAAGCCGACGGGAGAAAAATGGGTCACCGGCAGTCGGCCAAGCCTAGCACTACGCACATTGACTGATACAGGCGGGCCTAGCGATAGCATCGGCCGGTTCGCGGGTCGGGTCGCGATTGTCGGATTTCAGACGATTGTCGGCAAACATGCAGGTCTAACCAATATTCACAACTGACAAAGAACAACATATTCTAGTCATCCACATACGATGGGGAACAAAAAGATAAGGCTATTCACAGACGCCATTTCCTGCGGGAAGCCACCAGAAACAGTTAAAAAAAATCCCATACCTGTTTAGGTAGATTGTTCTCCTGGGCTTTGTTGGACAAGCTGGTGTACTCTGACTGCAGACTCTGGAAGCGATGTGCAGTGGAGATGGAGAGAGATAGAGAGAAACGAAATAAATTTAGACTCTAATAGAATTCCACTGCCTCCACACTACGTGAGTGCATACAAGTGTGAGTACCTATGTACGTATGGGCCTTCCAGTGTGTGTGTGTGCGCATGTGTATGTGTGTAAAATGGTTTGTATGTGAGCACTGGTGCATGCTTAAGTCTATGTCCGAATGTGCAAAGTTTGTATGTGAGCATGAGGGTGTGGCTATGTCTAAGTGTAATTAAAGCAATTTTACATCCCCATCTACACTACTTAGATCATTAAAAAGCAGGCTGCTTCAACCCTGCCTACCAAGGTCAACCCAAACTGGGAGGTATACAACTATACAACTTCCTTGCAGAGAGACGAGGATACTCCATAAAAACTCTTCCCACACAGGAATCGGACTCTCTTCTCTTGCTTGCGATGGTGAAGCATCCAACTGCTCCACAACAGAAATTAGTTTATGTATGTATGCAACCATTTGTGTGTAAGCATGAATAAAAGCACAGCACATTATGTTTCTTCATGCATACATGTTCTTGTCTCTGAAAACCATCTTCCCAATAGCAAGAAAACTACCAGGCTCATAAAACAATCTTTATTTCGACATGACATTTGAAAAAAACACACCAAGAAACGTATAATGGTGGACCGTACAATTCTATCAAAACAGGGAGCTTACATAAACACAAGAACAGGTCTTTCACTCACTTTCAGCTTCCAGCGAAGATTTGAGATTTCATCTTTGTCATTGTCAAACTTTCTCAGGCCGTCTCGCATACCAAAGCCCGCCTTCACACCCCCAAGGCTGCAGGAATGGACAATTTGTTTGTTTGTTTGAGTAAAGAGAAGCACATCGACACAATAATGATGATTAAGTGGTGCAGGGAAAAAATACGTTTTTTAGTTTTGGTAGAGGTTTTACGGCATTCGCAACTGCATAAGGTCATATGAGCGCCAGAAGATAAGAGGTGTTTCATAGGAGTAACAAACATAAAAAAGAAAAAGGGGAGATAGGGACGATAGATGTTTGATAGGAAAGAAGAAGCAAACCAAACAAGAGCACCCGCTAACCACCCACAGGGAAAAAAATAAGACAGACACCGAAACAACAGAGGTAAAGAAAAGGAGTAGGACCTACCAGCGCCAAAAGATGCAAAGAAAAGAAGTAGGACCTACCAGTGGCACCCTCCAACCATATCTAGATATCTTTATCAGGAAAATCTGAAACCTTTGTATGCAACAACTCATGACGGTACAGGGTGGGAGAAATGCAAAATTTCCTCATTAACCCTCGGTGCATGCACATGGTAAGAAACCTTAAGTCTAGAAAATATGTATAGATATCGGACATGTACAACCCCCCCCCCCAACTTATTTCTTTTCGTTGAATACAAAGAAACACATTGACAAAATAACGGTCACTTAGGGAAAGACATACAGGCAGAAAAAAAACCCCAGATGAAAAGAAAAGAAGTAGGACCAACCAACAGACAAGGAAAAAAAACTTGTAAATGACATCACAAATCCCAATAATGTTGAGCTCAAATATTGACAAAAACTAAGTAAGAAGAACCTTAAAAAAAAAAAAAAAAGGTGGTTGTTTAGTTCAAACGTTGAAATTAAATCAATAAAATAAGCTTCAAAAAGGTGTTAAAATATTGGAAAAAAAAAACAACTGAAAAGAAGCCTTCAAATTAATGGGTTAAAAAAGAAAGTTAAGCTCAAATGTGGAAACAAATTGAATAAAATGAGCCTTCAATAACTATCAAACTCAAACATAAAAAAAAAACCAACTACAGCAAAAGCATCTTTCAAAAACAGAGGCCAACTCAATCCCTGAAAAAATCTAAATAAAAGAAGCCTCCTTAGTTTAGTTTTAGTTTTACTAAGTGTTTTACGGCACTTGCAACACAATAAACTCATATAAGTGCCGAAGATTAAAGGTGTTACAAGACACACAAAAAAGAAGGAGGGGAGATAAAGATGATAAGACGTTTGATAGGAAAGAAGAAGCAAACCACACCAGAGCGCCCGCCAACCACCCACTAAAGAAGCCTCCAAGAACTGTGTTAGACATAAAAATTGAAACTAGCAGAACAGAAGCCTCCAATGACAGTGTTAAGCTCAAACATTGAAACAAATGTAATAAAATGAGCCTTCCAATACAGCCCAAATATTGACAAAACCTGAATTGGAGGGGCCTTCTTCAATAAGAGAGTCCAGCTCAACAATGAAGCAAATTATCAAACAACACAAAATATCGTCAGAGTGTCCACCTCAACATTTGAAACAAGGTGAACACAAAATCTTCAATAACAGTGTTCAACTAAACATCTAAAACAAACTGAACACAAAATCTTCAATAACAGTGTCCAATCTTCAATAACATTAGAAACAAATTGAACACAAGATCGTCAGTAACAGGTGCCCAGCCCAACATTTGAAAGAACAGAAACTGAACACAAAATCGCCAGCAACAAGTGTCCGGCCCAAACATCGCAAAATGCCAACATTTTGTGTACCTAGGGCCCTCTCGTGTTGTTAGGCCTTGGGAGGAGAGACCAGTGCCCCTGCAGGCAGCAACCGACCTGCGACTTCCTTGAGCCAGGACTTTGGGCTCTGCTGATTCCAGGACCTTCATGCTTCCCATATGGGAGCCGTTGCTTGCCAAGGCTTTGTGCCGTGCAATCCCCCTACCATCTGCCGATATCACGGCTCCGTTCATTTGAGCAACACTTCCGTGGGGCTTCACGACAGCGGGTTTGGTCCCACCCTCCTTTGGTGTCTCTGAGGCACTGCTTGCCTGTTGACTCTTTAATGCTTGTGCCAGCCACCGATTTCTTGGGGGTCGAACTGAGCCGTTTAGGGCTACACTCGTTTTGTCTTTTCCATCAGCAGAATGGGCTGTGCCTCCTTCCTTTGTGTCTGCCTCTTCAGCAGTCAGCCCTGGGCTCTGACCATCAGGCTTGGATGTGAGCTGGGCTGAGGGGGTCACCTGGACACTACCAGAGGCTTTCGGCAGCTGCCCCCCAAACCCGGCACCTCCCAGACGGAGGTCCAGTGACCGTTTCAGTTGAGCAATGAATGGCATTGTGACTGCACCAGGGCCAGCCCCATACATCGAGTTCGCCAGCCGGTCAGATTGACCGCTCATTACAGCTGGGGCAAACATGGCAGCAGACCTGTTAGGTGTAGTAGGCAATAGCCAAGAGAATTAAAGCAGCACTGGAAGCCAAGAGACCGAAAAACAAACTAACCTTCCCTTGTGGTAACAGTCGATGAGTGAGTGTTTGTGGCGGCCTCCAACCACCAACGACGTCAACAAGTAAAAGGTGACAAATAAACCTGGCCATCAGAGACCACACCATTGGAATTGACCACACAGCTCATCAGCCAGTCCCCCAACACTCTACATCGTCAGCCACAACATTCAAAGACCATGCACACACACACACACACATAAATGTTGTTCTGCTCTGACTGCATTAGTCTTTTGAAAACTTTTGAACATTGCAACAACAAAAAACAAAAAAAGCCTCTTCTGATTTAATTATAAGAGTAGACACAAAAGTCAGTGCACAGTATTTTTAAAGTGCATATTGTGCATATAAACTGATTTTGATTCAGGACCCCCAGATTGACCTCGGCAAAGGCTTATTTTAGAATATTTGAAAAAATAAATTGATCTATTTCATCCAGGTACACTGTAAAGGCATAACACCATACATATACATAATCAATTACACAGACCATAGAAAAACACACATACATGAAAGAAAAAAAAAAAGAGATACCCAGACAGACAAGAAAAATCCTACAGCTTAAAAAAAAAAGTTCCACCCTGCTAGTTAGGGCCAACCTGGACTGACAGAGATAAAACATCCCAGCAGAAAAGCAGAGATAGGCCTCCTCAATAAAAATTCTCCCCACTAAAGAATCGAACTTGGGTTTCCTGCATGCGTCAGTGAAGCACACTACCTACCACTACACCACAGATGCTGGTCCCACAGGTTCAAGGACACGACACAAAACAAATCTCTCACCAATGCACAGTCAACACAACACATCACCAACAAAGCAAATGTACAGTCACTGCACTTAAGTCTCGTTCCTCCTCCTCCTCCCCCCACCCCATCCCTGAAGGAGCCATTCCACCTCCAGGAAGATAAGAAATATGAATATTTGTAAACAAATGTATCTCCAACATGAAGAAAACAACAAAACAGCCCCCCCCCCCCCCCCCATCATACCTTAGGTCTAAGTTCACCCACGCATAACATCAAAGTTGTCAAAGTAAGTCCATCCTACTTCCAGGGTTTACCTGTTCATGCCGCCCATGTCCCCAGCTACCCCGAGGCTGCGGGCCTTGAAGCCCCTCTGGTCCAGGCCAGGTTTCTTGAAGCAGAAGCTGCTCTCCACCATCTTCTCGCACACGTTGATCCCATTGGCGTAGACTTCCGCGTAGAAGCCCGTATGGTCTGAGAGGCGGGCCGTGGTGAAAACTTCAACCTCCTGTCCATCCACTAGATCCTTGAGGTACTTAATGGCCTGCGAGTAAGAATACACAGACATTGATGAGAACGGCTAAATTGAAGGATAGACAACTTGGGAGCATTTTAAGTCTTAGTCAAAGTTTTCAGCACTTGAAACACAAATAGGTCAAATAAGTGCCAAAGACTAAAGGTGTTACAAGAGAGTAACATGCAAAGAAAAGGAGGAGAAATGAGGACTACCAATGTTTGACAGGAAAAAAGGAGCAAACCACACCAAAGCGCCCATCAACTACCCAAAGCTTGACTGTAGCAGAGACAAGTTGGAGCACAGACATAGAGCACAGACATTCAACACACCTAAATTGGAAAACACACAATAAACACAGCTAACCTTGAACTTGAAACGTGATTTCTACCACAAAGAGCCATTCAACATAGTACTACAAACACATAAACTTTCAGTAAACTGTCTTGAACACCTACACTAAATATTCTTAAACACTTACAGAAGATATTTTCCCATCTTATTCTAACAATCATGAGACAAATTCTACAAATCTTTCTTTAAAAAACCCCCAACAAACCTAACCACACAGACGCAAGCTCAACTGTGCACAACATAGGGACAAACACAGTTGTTAAAAAAAACACAGGCACAAGTTCAATCTGAAGTAAATCCTGTCCAGACATAAGCCAGATGCTAGTCACAGGCCGAGTTATAATTAAAGACACAAGCAATATTATTCCGAGAAACAGACCAGGACATAAGCAACACTGAGAACAAGTACAAGAAAATGTAGACATATCCAGAGCACCCACAAGTAGAAGGTGCATGTGTGTGAGTGTGTGACTGCATGTACTTGTATTTACGCACGCATTAATATGCGCAAGTCAACCAAACAGTGTGCGTGCCTGAAAGTAAATGTCTCACCGTGTGATCCTGATTGCTGGTGGTGTAAAGGGAATGCAGCATGAACTTGATGCCACATGGAGGTAATGCAGTCACAGACTTGGGCAGTTCCACTAACGACCAAGGGCTCACTTCCTCTGTGTTGCCGTAGTCCAAGTATTGCACTTTCACCTGAATAAAAACAAAGAAACAATTAAGAGAAATAGAGACACTCCTCTATGCGATTTGACTTAGCGGATTGAGGCGGGGAGGGGGGTAGGAGAGGGTCTGTATCAAGTTTTGGAATTGTTTAGCAAGAGCCCAAAAACTCACTGGCAGCTGGAGGAGGGGGTGTAAACTACTGAAAAGTTTGCTCCAAGGAGTGGTCAGGCGTGTCTCAAACCAGCTCCTCATGGAGACAATTAGCAGGAAGACCCTGAGGTGGACGCCGGAAAGGAGAGATGAGCAGCTATGGACATGTGCCGCCTGCTATGATTCTAGCTCTGGATCTAAGTAAATCCAAGTACTACTGAATTTGAGACTGGCCAATTTTTTTCAAAATCAATTAAGGGACTTTTGTTATAACATCAGATTATGTCAAAAAGAACAAAATTACATCAAGTTGGACTGGTTTCCGTGTAGTGTATGTGGCAATGCTTTCAAGTTCCTGATTGCCAAATCTGGGACAGTTCTGGGAATTTAGGAACAGTTCGCAAGCCCGAGACTTGTAAATCCCAGGACAAAAATCTCACAGGCAGGATTACTGGAATTGTTGTTTTACCCCAAGCACAAAAAAACTCATATTCTGACCTATGGCCTCACACGTATAGCTTCAGACACCGCAGGACAGAATCTTACAGACAAATAACAAAAAATCTGGAACATCCAAGATTTCGGAAATTCCCTGAGAAGTGGCAGGCCTTCATAACCATTGTAGATCATTCCAAAAGTTTATGTATGGCAGACTGTAAGCTCATTCCCTAGTGTTTGCCTACATGGCTTAACCTTTTGAACCTGAAGCACCGTTGACACGCTTTGGCAACAATAATCCATAGCACGGGTTCACTATTGTGAGGAAAGAGTGCTGAATTACCAGGCAGAAAAAGGCAGTAATTTTTTATTAACCAGAACACTAGTTTCTGTCAATATATTACAGTAGTCTCCGCCTAAGATCCCACCGCTTACGATACCGGTTCGCTTAAGATCCCATTGTTTTAAGAAAACAGAATTTTTACTATACAAAAGTCACCCCTAAGATCCCGCTCTGATGGTCTACATTCGGCTAAGATCCCGCATTTCAGATCATAATTTGCGAAACAAAAACGCGGGCGGGCACAGCCGATCAACCAATTGTGAAAAGTTGAGATCAATAAACTGTCTGTTGCATCAAAGATCAGCCACTATCGTAAATGTGATCCCACACACGTTGTAAAACTCGATGAAGCGATACAATGTCTGCCCCAGACGGGATCACACCGGGGTGTGAACTGACCGTCGCGTTTGTTTTCCCCATGCATTGCACTCACACCTGAGCTCTCCCCCTAAATTTGCATCACTTGCTGGGTGGGTAGGGCCTACACGTTCGCTCCAGGCAGGATCACATCGTACCGTGAACTCTTCCCTGACCATTGCAGCAGTTGTCTCTACTCCCGAATTTGCGAGACAGACTGAATTTTAATTGGTGTGTTCACAACGTAATGGTGTGTAACGACAAAGACGTTTTTTTTTGTTGGGGGGGGGGGGGAGGACTCGGTCAGAGATGTGGTAAAGGGGAGGGGCAACTGGATACGCGTAGACCTTGAGACTCATGATAGGATAATAAGTGAAAATGGCACGCCTCGTCCCACTATGCACCGTGATAGGTCATCAAGGTTAACCACTCTTTTCTCGCCATAAACCCACCAAGGGTTCATTGTAGAGGGAAGGGAGACCGTTTTACCGATTATGAGCCTTAACATGGGTCACCATAGATTCTTCCCTGGGTTCGTCGGTTAAGATTCCGGTTCGCCTAAGATCCCGCATTTCCTTGCTCCCGAGCACCGGGAACTTAGACAGAGACTACTGTATCTATTATGGAATACCAACATGTTTGCGCTCTTTCACACATGTTTGGATCAGATGCAGTGCTGATTTACCAGTTGTTTTTTTTCATGATGAAGCGCTTTGTTCCTGAGCCCCAGTTGCCAACAACAAAGAGGTCTCCTAGTACTGCCAGCAATCCTGGCCTTGTCACATACACATTTCCTCACGGAAAATTATTCAGCATTTATTTCCCTTGTGGAAACAGTTCAGGGACAAACTCTGATGCACTCAGTGATGCCAAAGGCAGCTTATGGCATATTTCTTTGTGACTTGGGCTCATGTTGACTGAAATATTGTGAAAATCGAGGTGACAAAAGGATCAGACAGACAGGTTTGACTCAGACTCAGGTGAAAAGTTGGGCTACTCAAGAGATGACAACGTGGCAGGATATCTTAAATCCTGATTTCCCCTAGTCAGACAATAAATTAGGGTCTGACCCTTATCCCCAGGCTAAAAGAAAACTCAGACAATGGCAATGGGGGAGCTGTGCAAGGGATCTCAAGCCTAAGGTTAGACACACTTGATACACTAAACCCCCCTCCCCCTACATTATGCCTATCTTACAGACTTTGTAAAAACTCACTGGACTCTCAAGTCTGAGCACAGACTCAATTCACAGTGCTTCCACCAGCTGAAGCTGAAAAGTAAAGAAAATTCTGCCGGGGTCTGGGGGCCGCACAGGCCCCCCAGCGGGGTCCAGGGACAGCGTCCCGGTGTGGGTTCAGGGGGGGCGAAGCCCCCGATGAAATTGAAATTTAGTGCTTTAAGAGGGTTGAAAATGGCATTTGGGAGCCTGTCTGAAGAGATTGCCTGCAAACCATATCATTTATTTTTTCACCAACATTTTGTCTTGTTTGATTTCTTCACCAAGACCAAGAGAATCTACATAACATATTTCCACTGATGCAATGTTTAAAAGCAAGTTCCCCTTCCATTGCTACTATAATTCAATTAATTTGTTATCGCACCATTGATAGAAGGCAAACCTGGGAATAATGAACTGATATGTACCTTCACAATACAGATACCCGGTGTATACCCTAATTTTCCTTAAATTTCACTCCTGAACGTCGCATGTCACAACCTCGGAACACCACTTCCAATTATTCTTGACTTTCGTAGCTTTAGGCTGGTTTTAGCATAAATTTCTTTCATCGCGGCCCTTATCGCGTTCCCGTGCCGTAGAATCTTCGTATTGATCATTTGTCTAGATCTAGACAAATTTGTTTAAAAAAAGTTTCTTTCTGACAGTAACTTTCTGTCTAAGACCACAAGTCAATTTACCTGATCATCGCGCAGACTTTCCAGACGCGGCAACAATCCGAAGATTGACAGACG